ACACGACACAACTTTGTAGGACAAAGTTTACTCCCATCTTGGCAACTTGAGCTTCTCGCTTACGTTTACACTGGGCATGCCAGGACGCAATTTAAAGCACCTTTATCTCTGCGGGGGGGAGGCAGAGCACGGCTCCCCTGGGCTTTCTGCAGCTCCTCTGCCCTCCAGTGCCTCATACAAATCAGGGGAAAGGTAGGGAGATGTCAAGGGGCACACATGAACTGCTGGAATCAGTCATTTCATTTTGCTTGAGTAAGAGTAATTAGTGATTTTAATGCTTCTGTGCATGATCCACGGTGTACTTAAGGTGTTAGGTTTTGTGTTAACTAATGGGAGCATCTGTGTATCGACCAAAGAAGCCTTTCTGCCTGCATTGCCACTGCTGCTTAAGGTTACTTGGGTAAACTAACCACCTTGGCCAGTTTCAAAGCCCTGTGTTTAGGTCTTTTTCCTCATAGCATACTTCAAGAATTAGTGTCACCTGCCTGAACTTAAGTCCAAATTCAATTTTAATACAAATTTTTTTCTGCAGAAGCAGAGATAAAAAAACCAACCCACACTTGGTGAAACCATGAACTACCCCATTGCTTTTCCAAACAGGTAAGTCTGGGGTGGTAGAAGAGGGCTTACGGTGAAGGAAATGAGGTATGCACAAGGATCTTTACTCCAGGCTTTACTCATGTCTGTGTCCATAGAAGAGGGGCACTGCTTGACCTGGGTTCCTGTGTTGCCCTCTGATAGGACCACATACCGCTGCTCGCTTGTTTAATGCACCCGTCAGTGCGCTGCTTCACTCAGCCTCTCTGCCGCAGTAGGTAAGAGCAATTCACACATAAATTGCCTTTCAGAAGTCACATTCCTTCCAAGAGAGTAACAGTGATTTCGCTCTGCAGTCTCGGTTTCTGCCTGCTCTACTGCACTCAGTGTCTCTGTGCTTGGAGAAATCCACAGCCACCTGCTGACAGAACAAGTAAGAGCCTGGAGAGCAGCACCGCATTTGTTGCAGGGCAGCCAGAGACATTACAGTTTAACAGTGCAAAGAATCCACAAAAATACCTTCTGAAGGACTTGAATTTGCTTTAAGGTTAAAGGGCAGCTCTGCTCTTAATGTACAATCACTATATGAGATGGCTCATGGCTATTCTGTAGTAGCAAATTGACTATGTGTGTATATTTTGTTTCTTGATGAAGGCTGTTTGGTTTCCTTAACACTAATAAAAACGGATAAGTGGCTCAACTTCCTGTGCTCTCAGTTTCAGCTCTGTGGTTCTCCAAAGGACTTGTAGGACATGCAAACATTAATAAAATAGCCCTAAAAAATTAGTGAGTCAAAATCAAATCTCTCTCATTCTTCTGCACATGGTCTTGCAAGATGCTAATGTTCGAAAGCTGGAGTTTAAGATGACAGGAAAACACAATTCATCTTCGGACACGTTTCTGGTATCCTATACAGACCAGTAGTAATACAAATACAGTGCTCAGCTGCTCAATATTACAAAAATACTTTCACAATTTAAAAAAAGAAATTCCTCTACTTTTCAGTGCATTAGCACAGTAGCTTCTGTGTAAAAGGAGGATTCACAGTTTTCTCGTGCTGAGGCTGAATTCAGTGGGACGGTCTGGAATCAACTCGCTGCCGGCTCCTTGATGCTCTCACACCTCGCAGGCTTAATTCCAGCCTGGGCACCCCCTTCACTGTATGCAGCGCACACAGAGCCTAGAATGATCCCAAGCCCTCCATCGGCAAGGATGAGCACAGCCCGAGGGAACGCCAAAGTTAACCCAACCCCGCTGTGAGCGAGCTGATCCCCAGCAGTCCCTCTCACGTGCAGTTTCAGCTACTGATTTTTCAGAACCTCCAGGATAAGCTGCTGCCCTGAGTGGTTCCTCCAGCTGCCTGGAGCCCACATCTTGAGTGCAAGTGAAGTTAAGAGGGGTTGGCTCCAGGCCTGGTTAACAGCTTCTGACTTCTCCCCTCACAGCTAAAACCTTCTCCGTGCCTCGGGTGCAAGCAAGCTGAATCACCCAGAGGTAATTAAAACTCAAATCCCTTCTGCCTGTGTTGCCCTTTTTGAGTTACCTGCCTGTTGAGTTACAGACCAGAGTGGACAGCTCTGACTCTCACCTCACCTCCAGCTTGCCAGCAGCTCACACTTATCCCAAGCAGGGAGATGCCACATCATCACCACAAAAAGCTCGCTGGACAGGGTACATGGCTGCAGAAAACACTAATTTAGAGGAAGTGCAGCTTTCCCACAATTCCTTCAACAGGCAAGTTGGCTTTATTATCTTTCAGCTGTATAAACAGGTAATCTGGGTCTTCTGTACATTCCATTAATAGGAAATTCTTTACATTATTAACATAATAAATAACATTTACTCAGCTGTGCAAGTCAGAGTGCAAAAGTAATTGCACCACTACCAGAGTAGATAGCTCATCAAAGCACATATTTCAAGTTAAAAGCAAGATGCCAGGACTGAATGGCACGATTGAGGCACTTGCAGTTTAAAACACTTGCGGTTTATCTCACTCCTCTACAGCCCAAAGCTGTGAACCAGGAGACAGGATATTATCCCCTATCCTATAGCTGTGTCATAAAGTAGAATTTCTGTACAAAAATGTCGCTCTTCAGACTTGAATTCAATCAATCATTAAGAAAAATAATTCAGCCAAGTTACTTTCCTCCTTTTTTGACTACTCAAACATCCATTGCCAGTAATGCTAATTAATGCAATGCAGCAGAACAAGAACTGGGAAAAACTTTTTGAGGAGAGCTCCACACACCACCTTTAAAAAGGGGTTACCTGTTCTCCCTCAGACACTCTCCAAGATTGAGTAACTGCAGCTGCAAACAGAACAGAACTGACAAAATCCCTTACGCCTTGGGGCCGCAGCATCGCTTTCAGACAAGATGCATCTTGAGAAGCCTCCCAATGTGCAGTTCGACAAGAGCGTGAAATCGCAGCGGCGTCTCACACACACCAGCCCCCAGAAACGCGCAGTGCTTGGTGGGCTCAAAGGAAAGGGAGGGGCTGCTGGGACCGTAACACAGAAAGAACCAGCGGAGACCTCTGGTTAGGTTCAGTGGCTGGGGACCTTAAAAACCCAATGTGTTTTAAGCTACACCACAATAGATACTATCAGACCCAGGGATGGAGGATTAAGGGCCCATACTTCAAAAGTGCACTTAGCACACAGCAGTCTCTTCCACATAGCTGCTTTATATCCAGAATGTGAAACAGTTTGACCAGGACATCTCCTGCGAAACAGTCAGTAGTCCCAGCTGATATCATCTTTCTGCAGCGAGGTCTGTATGGTCTGCATGTCTCGCAGCAACTGAAGATTCTTCCGACTCTTCTCTCCAGGTTTCACTTTGATGGGACCAGCATTCTTTCCTTTTGTGGTTACTGTAGTTGTTACTCTAACCTCACTAACAGGGAACCTGCTGTCTTTTACTTGTTTAGCAGAAGTCTTTTTGGACTTGCATTCTCTCTTAAGTTTCTCTAGCTGAAAAAGAAGCCCGAAGCAAAACATTAAGCAGTGGCCTTGTTTCAGGCTATGTTGGGCAATTCTTCCAGACAGCCGAAATATCTCACCACTTATCTCACCCAACTAAGCAAATGGATGCATCCAACTGACCCCAGACAACAAATATTTTCCTTATACAGCATTGCTGTATTTGCACTTTTGAATTGTCTTCAGCTGATAGTCTCAACTGCTAGGCTATCACTTTAAAAACTGACAAGTTCATTATGGGGGAACATCTTTATGAAAGTAACATAAAAAGTTATAGACCACAAAAAAGTTGATTTGTCACTTACTACCCAGTGGTTGAAAATAAAAAAAAAATGTAAACCAAATTTTTCTGCATGCACACTAGTGATTTTAATAGCTCGTTACTGTCAGAGATGTAGCTTCAAAAAGAATACCAAAGCTCAAAATACAAAGAATATGCCCAGCCCGACAGCTGGAGGCCCAGGAGGTACAGTAAGGCCTTCCAGCCCTATGTGTTGTTTCTCATCTTGTATGTTGCCCAACCAGCTTATGCTGTGTTTACAGAATTCAATGGCTGTGGGATCGGCTGTTGTACAACCGCCAATCTTTTCCTTGTTTTGGGGATGAGATGAGTGTAAAATGCAAAGCAGGAAGTGATGTGAAAGGTCTGCCCAAGACATGGTAAGACAAAAAGGATGCTCCTGCAGAAATACTGGGATAGAAAGACAGAGGTATGCAACTAACTTTGGGACATCAAAGCTAAAGCTGGGCACTCCTGCTCTACAGTAGTTATTTCTGCTTTATTCAACTACTGCTACGTTAGGATAGAACACAAATCAACCCCAAAACCTAAGACAGAAAAATCTACAGAAGCATAAACATAGTCAAAAGTAACTCACCTGCAAACGATGCCTCCGGACTTTGCTGATCTGGTCTGCCTTTGCTTCCATCTTTCCCACCAGTGCCTCAAGTTCCCTCTCCAGGTCTTCCCTCACCGCGATGGTTGGGGCTTCCTGGACAAGCTTTGACAGCTGCTGGTGATCACTAGCATGGAATTCACACAGAACAAAGCTTGCGTCACTCCTTTGGCTTCTGGTGCTTGTACAACCAGTTCAGAAATAACACTTCTAGGAAACCATAGCATCAGCAGCCAGACATGTGCAACATGCACTAGCAAACCACCAAGACTGCTGGTTAGCAGCATTACTGCAGCAGCACAGCCTGATGGCAGGCTGCTGCACCGTTAAGTCTCAATAACCTAAGTAGCTTCAAACTTCAACTCCCACATTCAAAATGACCAAATAACCCCCTGAGGGCATGATGTCAGCACTCAGTCCGTTATTACTTTGGGTATCTGTATCTACTGTGGTTGTGCAGTAGGATAATAATTCGTGTTCTGTTAACCAGGAGAAGCAAAACAACCAGTAAAGCTGTCCTTTAATGGAGCATTTGTCCAGCGCATCAGGGGCTGATACCCCACCTCTCCCCGATTCCCTGGCAATGCAGTGCCGCTGCATATGAACACAGGCATGGAGTCCAGACTGTTTGTAAAAATCTCTCTTTAGCTGCAAGGAGCACAGGCAGCCTGGGCAGCCAGAACACCAAAGAGATTAGATGCAAGAGACTTGCAAAAACTAACTCCTTTTTCAGACAAAACCTTCCAACTTAAACACAAAAGGCAAAGAATATAAACAATCTACACGCATAATCTGGAACGGAGAATATGCCAAACTCACAAACTCATTTGCCCAAATTCATCCTGTAAAGTCAGCAGCACTTCCGAAAGCTCTTCCTGGGATGAAGAGGATTCTTTTGGCAGAGATGACTTTCTGCTTCTGCTGGCAGGATGACCAGTACTGACGGGTTTTACTAGTGGAGTATCATTTACCACACGGCTGTTACACAAAGCTTTCGTGTGTTGTTTCATCAGGTGTAGGACATGTTGTACATTGGCACCAACTGAATGACTGGGACTGGTAGACTGAAAGGAAAAGAGACTTCTTTTAAATGACATCATCAACAACCTACTTGATAATGATACTGGAGAACATTTAAAAACAGTAACATTTTTTTATTTGCTGCCAAGAATGCATTTTTTCTTGGAATGACTATGCACTAACAAGAAAAGCCCGACTAGCAGCTTCGAGGGGTCACATTTTTTGGTAAAGCTACTTCAGCAAGTTAACGGATACTCAACAAGCCTTTTGAAGACAAACTGGGAAGAGTGGAAGAAAACCACAGGATCTGACCACTGGGGGTCAGGAGCGCACCAAGCCAAAGCCGCTTGAGCTGCAGCTACAGAGCTTTAAGCTTTGGAATTCGGCAGCTCACCTTCCCAGCTACAAAGGGGACGTCACCCAGGCACAGTCTGTAATGGGGCTGCGTAGTGAGCTGGCGTTTCTGCAAGGAAGGAAGAGAGAAACGTTTATCAAAGATGACACTACAGCAAACCCATTTTCCCTTTGCTTTGTAATAAAAAGAGGCAAACCTACCTTCCTGCACACACCCTTATTTACCTCCTCAATAATTTCCTTTCTCTCCCCCACCACGTTACCTTTTCTGTTCGTGTGGTTTTTTCCCTGGGTTTTCTTGCTTTTGGAGAAAGCAATGGTGATGCTGCTTGGATCAGCAGTCTGTTGGTTTCCAGGCCTGTCTGAAGCTTTAATTGAGGGAATAAGGGGAGTTACTGCAATTATATTAACAGGTAAGAGACAGAGTAACCCAAGAACTGCAAAACAAGAATTTTTAAAATCCAGGCTCTCTGAAAACAAAGGCTACAAGTTTATAGGATGCTTCAGCAGGCCCAGGTCAACTTAAAAATTAGAGTACTTCCTCTGATAGCACTACTCATTACTAATCCTAGTAAGTTAGAGAATTCGTCTTACTGCATTATATGCCCATGCAGGCAGTGCCAAAACCCCAGTTGTGCTTTACACTTAACACGAGCCACATAACCCTGCTCAACGGACGCTGTGGCGTATAGTTAACAGACAACTACTTCTGTTCTATTCAATTTGACAGTAAAAAAAACCCAAACCCAAACCCAAAGTGTCTACTGGAAGAGTTAAGGTCAGGATTCTCACTGTCAACGGCGAGCTCTGTAGGCTTTGCTGTTCCGCCCAAGTGAAAGCTATGACCTAGCTTCAGAAATCATCTCCTAACCAATCTCAACAATTAATCATGATTCATTAGAGACACCCTTCCTGTGGGTCCTTATGGGTTCATAACCAAGTGATGTTGCCTCTTTCTTACCTCCTTCTACAGAATTTCTAGTTACTATTAGGAACAAGGGAGCACACTTGTTGACATTGATCTATTTAAAGCAGGCATTTTCACACATCCTCAACTATGAATTAGGCAGAATTTCTACTCCTCATTACTGAAGAAATGGAACTTCAGGGCACAGCTGCTGTTAGAAAAAGGTTTCCAAAAACCTCCGAGAACTTCAGAACATTTGGTACCTCAGACAGGAGAGGCAAAAAAAAAACAAAAGAAAAAAAAAAATACTAAACCAAGGTTTTCATTACTCTGTAAATGAGAAGCACCTTCAGCAAAGTTTAGCTGAAAAGCTGATGGAAAGGAAGAGCTAATTACAGTGCATACAAGTACCAAAGAAATTTCCTGTTGGTTACCTCAGCTGCTTTTTCCTGAACAAGCTTCCTCGCATGTTCTTCCTCCTGAAGTTTCTGTTCCAGCCGTTTCATCTTTTTCTAGTCAAAGTCAGATAAAAATGCTAACTTTACTAATGAAATAATGCTTTTTCTTCTTCCTGAAGCCCACAATATTAAGAGCTTAAGCAAAAATTCAACTTACGACTTCAAACTAAGCATTAAAACGATTGCTGATGTTTTGTCTGCATAGACATAAATACAGTACTCAAATGCTTAATGCTTAAAACTTACTTGATTTTTTTGCTACCTTAATTCCGCAATTGGTATCTAAATTTAAGTCACAACCTGCAGGGAGAGCAATACACAAGGCTGTCTTTCTCTTTGGTTGTAAAAAAAATTAAATAGAATGTAGGTTGCTTTGCATACATTATCCTAAAAGACTTTGTGTTACAAAAGAGCTAACAAACGTATGTCATGTATTTATTATAACCAGAGAGAAAACTTGCTTTATTTACAGAACTAAAGGTATTTTTGCTAATGCCTGTAACCTAAGCTGTTAGAAGTGAGGAATTTTTGAACATCTAGCCATCTTGCTAATAAAAAAAAGAGGGAGGAAAGCTTGAATGATGCCTGAGAGATTGTTAAGCAAAACTGAAGTGATTTCACTTTTTATGGTTAAAAGCATGTGAGAACTCTTTTGAAAGCGCTTTTCAAAGAAAAGGGTTAAGAGGAAAGGCATACATTTCTTTAGAAACTCTACACTAAGAAAACCTCATCTAAGTAGGACACATTTACTTAAACTTCCAATGTGAAAGTTATCTCATTTTATACAGCTGAATGAAAAAATGATCCAGAGCTCGATGACACAAAACAACTTCCCTTCTTTCTCCCAAGGACTGATAGTGAGAGCCACTCACTAATCAAATTCAAAGTAACATCTCTATTTGTACACTTCTGTTTGTTTATAAGCCCACTATGCTGAGGCAATAAATATTTAAATTCTGCTTTACTGAAGTACTAACAGCAATATTAATGTAACCAGCTGTTACACAAAGGTATTAAAAGACAAAACTCTGGATAAACACTGAGTACTATACAACGGAACCATCTTTGTCTGTTGAATAGAAGAACCCTTTTGCCCAATTTTATTTTCTTAATTAAAATCAGATACATTCCAGGTAACTTAAAATCATCTTCTGCCTTTTACAGCACACGGCACAATTCTTTATTTCAGTGGTCAGTCGCACAAAGATCTTTAACCTGTTGGGTACAGAAGAGTTTTTGATATGGAAATTCTAAAGCAAATCTTCTGCTTGAACTGAGGGCTCACAGGAAGATGGGACAATGCTTTTGTACTGAAATGAACTGAGTATTCACTCGGTCAGCTGTTCAGCTGTTCAGCTGTCTTCAGACCCTGATAGTAAATTAACTTCCTGAAATATTTTTTCCTTGCTTATAGAAAAAGTTATTATGCAATCCATCTTGGGAGCTCAGCTCTCCCGGGGGCAGACACAGATTACTGATCCGTCAGCAAGAGGGAGCAAGTCCAAAGGCCAACAGCAAACACACACACTCCCCAGCCATGCTGCCCATCACATGAAGTACCACAAAACAGAAAAGGCAGTGCAGATCAGCTCTGGGCTGCCCAAAACACTCTGCTCCCTCACCAGCAGCCACTGCAAAAACTTCCACTGAAAAAATAGAAATAAAAATTTAAATGTCTATTTCTGTTCATTTTCTAAGTGGAATTTAATTTTATGCAATCACCTCACTCACCCTCCCAGTTGTCACTGAAATAAATTTCAAACAACTTTAACCAAAGAAGACAGCAAAATACGAGACTGAGCAAAGACATTGAACACCTAAACTTCCTACAAATTGTCTATGGAGATGAACATCCAAACTGGTTCCACCAGACAGGAAATGTCTCCAGTGCAAAGACAGGTTTTCCCTCTGTGCTCCACTACCCTGCACCTGCCTGACAGCTGTGCAGTCGGCACACACCCAGCTGGACCAGGGCAGGTCACGCTTCTCACCATCAGACAATTAGAGGAGAGAGGGAAAGTTGGAGCTGAAGGGGCAGGTAACATACAGCCACAACAGGACATCAGGGTTCATTACTTCTATTGTTCACAGAATACTGGAGTTTTGTTAAATCTCATTGTTAGCACTACGAAAAGGTCAATTACTACCAACTGTACTTCTACACACACACATTCAAATCCTGGCCACACACAAGAGCAGAGCTTGGACCACACTTCCAGGGTGCAAGCCCATCCCCTAACCCCATCCTCGGACACAGCGGTGTTCAGACTCTCTCAGCTATCCAGGGACTGCACTGCAGGACCACCGCTGTGATAAACGTACACCAGAAAATGTTTCTGAGGCCAATGCTTCAATTACAAGTATTTCACATGGATGAGAGTCGCAGCATTTCCTTTTCACAGCCAATGTTAACGTTGGCAAATCGCTTGAAGGCGATACTCACAGGGCCAGGCAGTGGCTCTGCAGAGATTAAATGCTCTCAGCAAGACCCCCACACAACCTGTACTCTGGCAGAGCGTCTGCAGTCAGAGGCAGAGAGATCATTGCTTGCTCCGAGTAGCCATCTTGCCACTTTCCATCCACTTCACAAAATCAGGAAGAGACCTTCAAGATCGAGTCCAACCTTTTCCAAGCCCTGACAACATCACTAAACCATGTCCTTCAACACGACATCTCCCCTTCTCTTAAACGCCTCCAGGGATGGCGACTCAACCACCTCCCTGGGCAGCCTGTTCCAGTGCCCGACAACCCTTTCAGTGAAAAAATTCTTCCTAATAACCAACCTGAACCTCCTCTGGCACAACTTCAGGCCATTTCCCCTTGTCCCATCACTCATCATCAGGAAGAACAGACTTCAGCACACCACATATAGAAATCATCTTTTCTCATCCATTTCTTGCTTCAAATTACACTTGCAAATGTTCCTGTGGTCTTGCCACAACCAAATCAGAGATGGGTGAGGAAACAGAGGCAACTGTTTTGAGCAAAGTGTGCAGTCACTCTTTCAGGATTATAAGGTGACACTTAGCACAGGGGTGCTCACGTGGAAACACAGCCTGCAAGCACAGGGGCAGAGCGACCTGTCAATCAGAAACCAGCACATGAGAGTAAGTGATCACAAGGAAAATTACCTTTAGTCAGAGTTAAATCCAGGTTTCTCTCAGTTCCTACAATTGACTCAAAATTGTGTGAATTTAACACCCAATTCCACTAAAACAGATTTAACTGTGACAGCTGCTGACTCTTGGAGAACCAAAGATATCTAGTTTGATCCAAGGGAAAAAAAAAAAAGAACAAAAAACCTGTTACGCTGAAATTATGTTCACTAGCCAAGTACAAAAAGACAAACAACCCAGCTCCACCAAACTCCAGCTGCTACCAGTCAAAAACTTGGTAAAAACCCTTGAGAAAGGAACTCCTGTTGCTGTGCCAGTTATTTCAGCCTTGACCCTGGAGGAACCTACCGCTCCTTGCAGTGAACAAGGTTCGGGAGACACTCACCTCTCTTTCAAAGAGTTTGGCTTGGCTAAACAATGCAGCCACTTTTATTCCATGTATGCAGCTTATCAAAATGGGGTGTCAAAATCTGAATCAGTTTGTTACAGCTGCCTTGGGTCAGGGACTTCAGGAATAGCTGCAGCGTGTAAAGGTCCCGCAGCAGACCAACTAACTAAAGATTTAGTATCAAACGTCTCCTTGTGTGCTCCTGGAAAAACACCATCTACTTCAGCACCTGGTAAAAGCTGGAGCAGGGTGGCAAGCCTATAATTTGGATAGAGTTCAGAGCTGTCCTCAGCACCACAATCAAATCATGAACTATCTGCTCCTTTTGGATGAAAGATATTTTGAGGTAGAAGCCTCTCCCTCATCAGGCCCTCTGCAGCTCCCAGGCTTGGGAGTCTTGTCTCTCCACAGCAGCAGAAAAAGGCTGGACCAGATTTCAGAAGGCAACGCCACAGATGGTGCACAGAAAGAATACAATCAAACACAGACATGCTGAACTTTTAAAAGCCATCAATTCAAAATGAATCCTGGAGAGGCAAATTGGTTCAAATCCACTGACAGCCAGTCAGTGCTAGAGGCCTAGCAATGTCAGGCTCCAGAATTGCACAAGCAGAATAATTAACTGCATTTCTTAAGGAGGAGCGTTACATGGCTAAAAGAAAAAAAAAAAAAAACCACACCAAACCCAGGCAAGTTAAATGAGGGTGATAACAGAACACAACCGCTAGCACTCAGCAGCATGCAAAGCAACTCAGTAGATGAGAGCTCAGGAATGCTCACACTCCTACATACCTATGCACCAAGGAACCACAGAAGAGAACACCAACAGATACTGTTAAGCCTTAATAAAACTCCAGCTCTTGTAGCGTGTAGTGACCTGAAGCCTACCTGGCTGTGCAGACTTTCAGCAGTAACTTCCAAGATGTTTAGCTGCTGTCCTTCTCTGCGGCACAAAGTTTTGCTCAGTTCTGTTATCGACATACAGCTATAAAGTGCTGATGACAATTAAACAAGCTAAATCTGATACTGTATCAAGTATGAATGACAGACCTCTGCTATGGACTGCATCGTAGTAAGTCTGCTGTACTCCTTTTCCAGCAAATCCAACTTGTCCAGTTTAGACTGAACACGTGATTGATCAAGAAGCCGATCTCTCTCCAACGAACCCTTGAAGGGAGAAGTGAACAGAAAAACCATTATAAGCATAATAAAAGAAGGCCATCTGTAGTAAGCCTCGTGTCTGCAGCACAAAGGAGACGCATAAACAGACCAAAGAAACTATGACATCCTCTGTGTAATTTTAGATGGTGCTACAATCAGGCAGCAACCGCACCACTGCTCCATCAATGCTGGGAATCTCACACTCAACCAGGTTCAGATGAGAGAGATACTGCAAAGTCTCTCCTCCCTACAAATCCAACGTGGCAACAAAACCTGATTACTCAGCTATTAGAGACAGCTTTCTTATGCTTTTCTCTTCAGTAACTATTTAATAGACTGAAATAGGACAGCCACAGAGACCAACAGAGACCACTAAGTGAACCATATTCCTATAAAACAAAATTCAAGCTCATCTTAGATAAAAGGGAAATCTCAGTCACCAATTTTAAGAAAGAGAAATTTGACTATTATTCCTACAGAACCTCCCGCAGTTTAGCAAAAGCAGCATTACTTAGTTAAGAAAATCCCCAAAGATCCAAAGAGTGTAAACAGAAACAGGAGTTTTTATTCCAGTGGCACATGGGTTTAACACTGAGGGATAAGGATGAGCTACTACAGTAAGCCAATCACACAGAAACAAACAATTTTTATTAATACCAGAGTCTGGAACTGCCTTCGAGACAGGTGCACAAAGGCAGAAAATAACAGGGTCCTGATAAGACTGGGAAATTCAAGCAGGGAAATTATCCAAAAGTATATAAAGGGCAGCTGAAATAGCATGCACGCTTAGAGCTATTAAAATTACAGTAACTACAAAAAATTATGACAATTTAACCTTGAGACAATCCTGAGAACACACCTGTTTCTCCAAGAGATGTGACTTCTCATTTTCTGCGTGCTGGATCATTTTTCTCATGTAGTCCAGCTGTTTCTCTAAAAGGCTGCATCGAGACTCAGCAGCTGCCAGCTGAGAAGCCAGTTCTGAAGATAACAGAAGGCAGAAAAGTGAAATTATATACTGCTTTATTTTTTTTTAATGTTTTCAGGACAGTTCCAAAACAAACAAGAAAAGGACCATCTAAAGAAACTCAGAGATTAAGCCTAAAGAATATCTGTACGCATGCAGATGCCTAAACTACACTTTTAAAATTATTTCTTTGTAATTCCATGTGTCACTGCAAAGCAAAAGATACTGAACAAAGCAAATTAAAAGACTTATGCATTGATAAAAATGAAGTTTAATCCACATCAGTGTTCTGTAGTACTTATATAAAGTTTGCAAACAACCTTGATTTTTCTTTGACACTTCAGTCTTGCCATGCTCTTCGTGTTGCATTTGTTCACTTAATACTTTTTTATAGTCTGCTGTTTCCCTGCTGAGATGTTTTACATTCTCTTCTGCCTGAAGCCGTTCCAACTCCAGTCGGTGAATTTTTTCCTGGAGATTCTTCAGAGCAGAAAATATCGCTGTAATTGAACAAGTACCTTTTGTTAGCTATCATTAAATCACCATTCTGGGATAACGTTGAACTTGAAACGTTTTTATAAAAGCATGTTATGCAAGAAAGTCAAGTGTTCCTCACCAGCATCCAAGACTCCTTCCAGGAATTAGGATGCAATTCCCTTTAAATCATAACTGATTCTAAAGCTAGCCTCAAACAAACAGATGCCCTTGGTGCACACTTGAGTCTGAAATACTTGGGAAAGATGCATCCATTTCCCAGAACAAGGTGTGTAAATATTCTGTAGATTAAGCACAAATAGTGCATCTTCTGACTCTGTCAAAGGGAAGTCAAAGGTCAAAACTAGACAGACAGAACAGTGGTAGGTCTCGATATTATTATTTCTCTACAAATGCATGCTAGCACAACAAATACATTCCTACGAATGGTCTCAGATCAGAATAAAGGTGAGCTGTCAGAAAGGCTATAAAAGTGTTTATTTCTCTAAGAGGCAGCTCTTTGATTCTTCTGGTTTTGCACTTGTGTTCCCCTCCTCCCTCTTAAGACATGCATCTCCCTTGTGGTGAACAACATTCTCTCTTTCTGCTCCCTGCTTTAGCAGATACTCACCAAAACCTTTATATATTCATCACCACAATAAGAAAAGCAGTTGTAATAGAACTCGCATCGCCTTGCAATTAGACCATCTGCTGGAAATCTGATGTATTACGTCTCTTAGCTGTATTGTTTAATTCTGCAAAGGGAACCATAACCAACAGCCCTTTCCCCTATACAGTCCTGGTAAAGTAAAACAGAGGAACATCTGTACAGACAGCTCATATAGCAGTTTAATCTGTGAGGTCACATTAGCCCACTCCTTTTTGCTTAAATCCACCCTAGAAAAAGAATGCAGCTTTATTACAGACTGCTTGAGCACAAGAAAACTGGACCACGCATTTGGTTTAGCATCAGATTACAAGGAAAAAAAAGGGGGGTAAAATAAGTACAATGATTAACAGGGCCCTGTTTGCAACACCAGGGTCACCAACCGTACCCTCTTCTCTATTACTGTTAACAAGATTCAGTTGAAATGGGCATAGCTGAAATGATGAACAGCTTTGTTAGTATTATCCTTAGAGCTAAACTGAAATCCCTGTATAGTTACAACAATGACTAACAAAATATGCCATTGAAGCAATGCAAGCAATGAATAAAGGTGAAGTCCAACTCATGCCAAATATCATTCAGTCAGCCTTATTAGAGTATTAAAAACAAGTGTGTTTGGTGACACACACACACACACACATATATATATATACACAGCACAAAGAATTTCAAACCAAAATAAGCAGAATTTACTATACTCAAGTTCAGGATTTTTCAATATATTTTTTTTTTTAAATTAGGGGATGGGAGAAGCAGTGAGGACCCTCAAGAACAATCAAATCTATTTTCCCATCTGAAATTAATCCCCATATCCTTCAACTAACTAAAATATAAACTCAAAAACATTTCTGTATTTTTAAGAGCTTTGCAAAATGAGTAAGATATTGCATCATCTGCCTGTTGGATTTAAATTTTGGTATGCATTCATATTTACTTAAACATTTTTTTACTTAAACATTTTTTGAATAAAGATATTTCATAATTTTTAAAAATATATATAATTATCAGACTGTCTCCCTTCACTTGCACTTATTACAGAGTTAGCAGATTCCCTGCATGAAAACACTTGCCAAGTGAAAACCTAGAATTCAAGTTTGTCACTAATGCAACACAAACTATAAAAATACGCTGCATCAGTAACCCATTCTTTCCTGCATGTCCAATTTTTTATCTGTCACAAGGTTCCTTTAGTTTTGTGTCAACAGCACCCTCAAAACTGATGACACTGAGCATAGGAAAGCATATACTGCACTTTAAATAGCACTTCAAGAACGGAGATTTCACCTACCAGGTGATTAACATAGAAGTGCCTAGTAACTCAGACATGAATTATGCAGTTGGAACAGGGACTTGAGGCTATCCTGCCCACTTTTTTAACTTTGAGCAATATTAGGATTCATCCTAAATCCTTCTCACTTTCCTCGCTATGAGGAAAAAATATCAAGTTTTTTATATCCTTAAGCTTCTACGCAGCTCCAGTATTAAAGGGAGCATTTCTGCAAAGACCCCGAGACATCCAGCTCACATCAGAGGACTGGTCCTGCTCCAGCCTCCCAACTCCCCACGCTGCCTCCTGTACTTACCCCAAGGCAGCTCTGGAGCACGGCTCACTGCATGACAAGCCAATTCACTAAAGTAACAGAAAACTAACCAAGACCGTTTTAGTTTGTGTCTGGTCAGGCAAGTCATATCTGTTTACCTGGAGATGAATACCAGGACCAGAGTGGGAAAGGAGGGAGAAACAAAGAAGAATAAGCAGGAGTAAAATCACCTCCCTTCTCTCTGCTGTGAACTCTCAGTTCAGGACTACGCTGAACTTTTCTGTATCCTTCAAGTCTTTGCTGATATGAGAAATATTCTCATCATACCCTTAGTCCACGACAAGTTTTCCCATCTCAACAGGACTAAACCTCTACCTTTGCTCTAAACCATTCTGGGGACTAAAGTCTCCTCATTTCAAACGCAGCTGTGAACTCGGGAGAGGAAAGATTTGAGGGAGAAGACAACTGAAGGAAGGACAAAGAAAACACGTCAGGACAATTTCACAAAGTATTCAGCCAATTTTACTGAAGAGAAGCATCTTTCTCCAGCTATAAGATGACCTCTTTCATCAGGTATTCTTCAGAAAAAGAAGAGCGAAAGACCTACAAAACAGGTGCCCTACACATCACTGGGAAGTGATAAAAGGATAAAAAGACTGCAGCCTTCCCAGACGTGGACATACACTATTTCACCACATGACTTGGAAACAGATGAGGAAACAACTTTGCGGATCTATTACCTCTGCTGTTGCTTTCAGGATATGGAATTACTGGTTTCCCGGGGGAGAGCAGCAAATCTGAATTAATAAACGGCTTAAACTTTGGATATTCTATAAATGAAGCTGCAGAGAGTCCATCTGTGGTTGACACAGAGTTAGGAGATTTGTGCAGATCATCCTGAAAATAAAAGAAAGCTGTTACTGAGCGTGTTTTGGTTTTATTGTAACAAAGAGACAAAAGTAGAATCCGCTTAGATGATGTAAGTATTGCTGCAGAAGACCAATACCTCAAAAGTGGTATTTCCCTCCTTAACAGCCTTAGATTGTGTCATTTTCACACGCAACTCTCGCCCACTAAAAACTGTATCAGAAAGAAAACATCTTTTCCATAAAAGTTGCTGATTTCCACTGTTGTTTTATACATTAATACTGTCTTTTGCTTATTGTGAGAAGGCAATACACAGACAGCTGGAAAACAGCCACCACTAACTACTGATTATTCCTCCTGCACAAGAGATACTGTACTAAGGCAGCCAAACCATATAAAGTATACCCAGGACCCCAGTTCCACACCTGGTCACCTAATGCAACAGCTCCCTCACTGCAGATGGAGCAGGGGACACGCTCTCTTCCTCACCTCCCCTCACAGCCACATAGGCCCAATCCCTCTTTCCCACTGGCTTCGTTTCATCTTTCCTATCCCACTCCATGAACATCTCGAATCTCACCAACAGACACATCTGGATGACTTCGTGCTTCATGACCTCAGCAGCAGCATCACCACAAGAAAAAGCAGCAGCAGGTCACAGGCAGGAATGTGCTGTTAGACCACCTTGAGACTGGTCTGAAAAGTATGGTCACAGAGCAGGGATCTCCCAGCAGCCAACATCAGCTTTCCAAACATTTGCTGTGGCTGGGATGCTGCAATGACCAGAGGGGACCACGTAGCTGTGACCATGCACACCATGAAACCACGTGGTTCTAAGCAAAAAGGTCACAGCGCTCTGTATACCATTCATATTTTATTTAATTCATATATGCTAATATTTTGCTTAGATCATTCTAAGCAAAAAGGCCACAGCACTTTGTACACCGTGGTTACAGTTCTGACTTGAAAACCGGCTACCTGCCCTAGGCTTTCCAATTTGCATATACAAATTAAATAAAATATGAATGCAACAGCAATTTCTCTCAGCTGTACCCCCCTACTAGCCATTTCAGTAACAGAATTTGAAACCAGCCTCAGAGAGATGATGCAATGCTCCTACAGCTTTCCATCGAGAATTTACTTCACTAATATGTCAACACAGCAATTGCTCATCTTGGCAGGATTTTTTTCAAGCTTTTGCAAGCACCAATTATTGGTACCATATCATAACCTAAATTAAAATACAGAAAGTATTTATGAGTTTCTCACAGCAAATTGGGTAATAGGCCAAAAGCCATTATGAGAAAGAAAAATAATATGAGAAAGAAAATTAAAAAACATTTGTAAGATATCTAAAGCCTATACACAGCTAATTTCCTCCTATAAATGAAATGACTCATTGTGGACAAGAAAATTAGGATCTTAAGTACTCTGAATATATCAACCAGCGTTTCTAAGCACAGTTTTATGAACGTTTTGTAGTTCGTGCTTATAACATTTTCCCACATGACATAAATGGTTTACTTGGTGTAACTGCATTTGCACAAGAACTTTTGCTACCACAGAAAGCCAACTAAAACACTAATCCCTAATTAAGAATACATCAATAAAACAATGTTGAACAGGTTTTTGTACACGTGCATATACACACACTGTTTCATGCTCAGCAGCTGTACTGGTCTGACGAGAACGTGTGAAACGAAAATCGAATGAAAGCGCATGTCAGGTGCTGACATCAATACCTACGCCTCCCTCCTGCAAAAATCGGCATCACAGGATGCTGAACTGATGCACAGAATAGTAAGACCAAATAATGAAGTAAAAACAAACCAAGCAAACTACTCGGTGCAGCACGCAAATGAACAACAGCAGCAACATGCGCCTCAGCAACCCAAAGGACAGTAACTATTGATTCAATATCAATACGCTGTTACTGATTCAAATCAAAGGCATCCCATGAAACAATCGAAAGAAAAGAGGAATCAGTTTAAAAATCAAAGTAAGGCTGCCAGCACCAACTTTCCAGTGTGTCTTTATGTTTCACCTGTAAAATCTTGGATGCGAATTAAAAATAACTACATAAAGCACGCGAGCTCCAGGAGCTTGTTTGTTTTTACTGGCATAAGTAACATTTTTCTAGTGAACAGGAGACTACCTGAAAGAAAAAGCTGGCATACTCAACCATTTGAAGATCGAGTCGCACAAAGCAAAACAGAGGCTTCAGACTAGTTGCGTGTCTTCTAAATTTGAACTGGATGCAGAGTACAGGCACTAATTTGTAAAGTGTAATACTCAGTACAGATACCCGCTTGAAATAAATACCGAAAAAATGTGGTAAAATACTGTCTATCGCATAGGCAATCCTTCTTCCAGTCAGTCTATATATTCACTTGCATATTTACCTCATAATGTTTAAGCAAGACTGGTTTATATTCCATTTGGCAGTGGCTTCAATTTAACCTAAGTGAAGAATTTGAGAAAGTTTACGGAACGGCATCAAGGTGTTTCCCAGGACAAATCTCAGATTCAAATATCACACCAATTCTCTGCTCTTCTCAACTCCTCTCAAGCCATTACAAATTGTTTAAGTCTGTTGCTGGTCTTAGAAACTCTTACAGGGAGCATCATGCTGCGATGCACATGAAAATCCCAAAATAAGAAGCATACGTACAAAAATCAGGGAACTCTGCATATTTGTTCTGAATCTGAGCTAGGTCACATTTGCTCACTACGTCTTCTCCCCTCATTCTGGGTACTCCCTATAGTCTTTTCTTTCTTAAGCCTCGCTAAAGCCTCATAATAGTAAATGAAGAAGCTTAGCAGTGCCACCAGCTTTATGTAACGGGCGGGAGGTGAGCACATTTAACCTTCACAGGTCTGAGGACATCACCTTCCACAACCCAGGGCTGCTGCCAGCGTGTATCCCCTGCCTACTTGAGCAGGCAAAAAACATGAAAAACACAGAACAGCAAGACATTAATGCACCAGGAGCCCGCTGTGGCCTCCTGAAGCTCCCCAAGACTAAACACAATGAAAACAAAACAAAACAAAACAAAAAAAACAAAAAGACCCCACATAACCTCATGCAGAGTTTTAAAATAAGAATCAGCAGCTTGAGGCAGAGGTACACTTTTTAAACAAAGCACTTTGTCAGGTAAAAAGGACCCACCATAACGCTGTGATTTTTTTGTTGCAGCAAAAAAAGCATGAAAGTACCAAGTAGAGCATGTTTAGTTCTAGCACTTTGGGACTGCAAAAAGGGACTATAAATTAGAGCGGGTGTACTGCAAATTCTTCTCTGGGTGCTCACAACAGAAAAAAATTACAACAGAAAAAAACAGTTGATGCTTGCTAATGTTCTAATTGACACACATTAGTTGTCACACTTGGTTACGAATAAAAATATTAAAAAAAAGAAGGGCAGAAATGGGAAAATTATGCAGACATTGGGAAAAAAAACCCAGAATAATCAGATATTGAGTTCACTGAGCATAAAACAAGCAAGTTCCTAGCTATTAAAAATTGCAAAAGAGCCATTTTTGAGGGATAATTTCAATTGGTAGCCTGCCCTTATCCCTCTGTACCACACACTACTGGGAAAGTGGGGGAGGGAGAGCAGCCTCTATCACCCCAGAGGTGAACTGAAGTGCTGCCTGTGCCTCCCTGATACAGACCCAGTCAGTTAAGTTTCTGAGTAGTGTGCCAGATGTGTTAAAAGCAGCTGTTTTCAAAGTTCACAAAGTGTAAAGCTTGCTTTTTCCTTTTTTCAGACATACAAAAAGCCTTCAGCGGGCAATTTATTTTTGCTAAAAGTTTTGGTTTACTACCTAAATTAATCAAGCAGCCTACAATCGTCTACTTAAGATTAAAATTAGTTCTCCAACGTTCTTCTCTACACATGCTAGGAAAAAACACTAGCCAGGAAGAATATAGGAGTCCTCAAAACACCAGTCGGGAAGGACACAGGAGTCCTCAAATTATTCTGTCACCACTCTTGCTGATACAGGTGTAAATATGGGACCACAGTGCAGAGGAGGAGGACACTACAGAGAACACCACGCTGGGTGCTCGCCATGCAGCTAGTGGGACCCCGAACCATGAATCTTCACAAGGCACATCTTGGACGCCACTGCGCTGCATCCATTTCACCATCTCGATTCCTCCAAGCACGTATTAAGACACATCCACTCACAAAAAAAACTCCACAAAGCCAAAACCAAACAGAAAAAAACAAACCCAAAACCAAACAGCCACCTGACCTCAGAGAGCTACAAAGAGCCTCCACTCACTGTGCTGACACCAGCCGAGCTTCTTCACGTCCCGGTCACCTGTCACTGTCAGACACGGCTCTGGCGCTTCTCCCACGATCAGCACCACAAGAGGACCAGGAACAAGAAAATTCTGGTGCCTTGCATGCAACCATCTACATGTTGCCCCCAAACCGGCCAGGGGCTCACGCACACGCCTAAGGATACAGGTATATACACTGAACTTAAACCTCGGTTTAAGATAATGCTTTCATCTTACAAACAGACACAACCAGAAGCTAAATCCATCCCCAGCTCTCCAAGGGGAAGTAGCAGGTTGCTGTGCCAGCGTAACCCACCTGTGACTGCACAACCCACTGCGTTTCTGGCTTTGGAATAAACGTTTTCGAAGTCACAACTTCAAATTATTTCAGCATGTAACATCAATTATGACATTTTATGGGCATTCACTTACAGATATGGTCTCTAGACACTGGCACGGTAAGAGGCCTGGCTTAAAGAGTGGAGGATCTGTCACGTTCACAGAGTCACAGAATGTCAGGGGTTGGAAGGGACCTCAAAGATCATCCAATTCAACCCCCTGCCAGAGCAGGATCACCTACAGTAGGTCACACAGGAACGCGTCCAGACGGGTTTTGAATGTCTCCAGAGAAGGAGACTCCACA